TCTCTCTCTCTCTCTCTCTCTCTCTCTCTCTCTCTCTCTCTCTCTCTCTCTCTGCTTGGTTTTCCTTGTGGGTGTAGAGACCCTCATATGAGCCCTATGGTTACTTATCCCCTGGGACTGCAGGGATTTCTCGAAGGGCTGTCAAGCTGAGTTTTTCTGGTCATGGATAAACACTGCACATCTAAGTGGATAGCACCTGTCATGCCTATGGATGCTTCTCCCCCATTTCATACATGCATAGCCTCTTCTGTCAGAACATTTTAAATAAGGCAAAGAAAACAAACCAAGAGCCTGCCTTTGGCTTGAATGGATCAGCAGATCCATAGTCCCTTTCAGACTGTTCTCTTCCGAGTGCGGATGGTAGGGCCTGGATCCCCTGTGGGTCAAAAGCGACATGTTGGGCGATTACTCTGTTTAGTTAGTTTCGGGATGGGGTTTTGCTATGGAGTCCAGGCTCACCTTGACCTCCCAGGCTGAAATGACACATATTCCCGTCTCAGTTCCCCATGATCTAGGACCACAAGCCACTGTGCCTAGCAGACTTCGTAGAAATGGCTACCACGTCGCCTCCCCATCACAGTGCCTTTCTCATGGCGAATAAGCCTTGCTTTCTGCACAAGCGCTTCTTGCCTCAGTCTGGGCTGCCCTGATCCCTGCGACCCCGGGAAGGACTGATGGGACGTGTGAAGTGACACTGCCATGTGCTGTGGCCTTCTGAGATGATGTGGCTTCTGTTCTAGCCCTCCCGGAGAAGGCCAACGGGGAAACCCTGCATACACACACACACACACACACACACACACACACACACACACACACCCATTGATAGGTGGACCCATATCCAGCAGGTATGTGACTTGTTTTTGGATTCTCTGCTGGCAGCACTGGGCTGGCTGACTTTCTCTTACCCCAGAAACAGGCCAAGTTGCCAACCTGCAGAATTAGAAGCTACAGGGGTTCTTGTCAGAATTGATTAAATCTGTGGTGGTTTGTTATGCAATAAGAGGTGCCTGCCATGAGCTGACTTCAGAAGACACACTTAGAGTCAGAGTCCCCACTCACATGGTGCCCTGGAATCTGCACTTCATCTTTCAGGGAGTAGACCCCGTGGTTTGAGTATAAAAGATTTCTTTTTATTATTTCCGTTTGTGTGCATGTGAATCCAGTTACCTGTGGAGGTCAGAGGCTCAGTACCCCCCGGAGCTGGGGTTGCAGGCAGTTATGAACTGCTCCACACAGGTGCTAGGACGTGGGCCTTCTTCAGCGGCAGTGCAGGCTCTTAAGGACTGAGCCATCTCTCTAGCCCCTGAGTCTCAAAGAAGACTGTCTCCAAAGAGGCTGAGAACCATTTACTTCTAGGTTAAAGTTAGACATAGTGTCAGTAGAGATTATTTTGGGTTTATAACAATTTCACATGCTTGCTCGACTGTGAAAGCCTGATTATAAATTGTATTAAGGAAAAAGATATCCGAAGTTTATGCTAAAAGTGTAACATTCCCAGAGAAGGTATTAGGAACCTCATTGGAAAAATTGAAGCAGCCTCTGTATGCATGTACACGTGCCTCTCTCTGTGTACACATGTGCATCTATGTGTGCATGCATATGTGTGTGCACATGCCTGTACATGTGTGTACATTTACTCATATGTCAATGTTTCCTTTAACTCAGGTAGAAATTCAGAACCTGTGGGCCGGAAAGGCAGTTCCATTGCTACAGTACTTGCCATGTAGGCATGAGAGCGTGAGTTTGCATCTAGAGCCCATGTAAAAGGCTGGGTGTGGGAGCATGTATGTGTGACGTCCCTGGTGTTCATTGACCAGCCAGCCCAGTCAAATCAGCAAGCCCTAGATATTTATGAGAGACTCTATCCCCACCCAAAAGGAACATATTTAGCCGGGCGGTGGTGGCACATGCCTGTAATCCCAGCACTCGGGAGGCAGAGGCAGGCAGATCTCTGTGAGTTCGAGGCCAGCCTGGTCTACAAAGGGAGCTCCAGGACAGGCTCCAAAGCTACAGAGAAACCCTGTCTTGAAAAACCAAAAAAAAAAAAAACCAAAAAAAAGGAACATATTTAACAAAAAACTAAGGCACACAGCACCTGAGGTCTTTTTATATGTGCGCGTGCAAACACACACACACACACACTTATGCATGTGAAAATGCATCAAGTATACACACATACACACAGGAGAAAGGAAGGCTGATCTTGAACATATGTATTGCAAATATCTAACACCACACACACACACACACACACATTCACACAAACACATGCACACAGACACATGGTTATGCATGTGAAAATGCATCAAGTATACACACATACACACAGGAGAAAGAAAAGCTGATCTTGGACATATGTATTACAAATATCTAACATTACACACATGCACAAGCACGCGCGCGCACACACACACACACACACAAAGCACAAGAGGAAGGAAAGCTAATATAGAACATATGTGTTTCGAATGTCTGACACTACTTTGCTGTTGGTCCTTTGACCTCTGGAGTGAATTTCATTTTGTTTTGTGGTCAAATATATCAACATTTTCTTTGATGGCTTCATCTCTTCATGTCATATTCAAGTTCCTTTTCTCCGTATAAAACATACATGTATTTCTCTTAGAATGTCACAGTGTGAACTCTTGCTAAAATCACTCATGGTCTATGTGGAGTTCGTTCTGCTGACAGGAAGCTTGCATTGGTTCTTGCCCAACCCTCATTTATAAAATACAGAACCCTTATACATACCCTTTGTCCTCAGTCTACCTGAGGGGAGGGCTTGGCATCACCCCTTGTCTCTGCTGCTCATGGCCTCTGCTGCCCATCTTGCTCAGCTCTGCTGTGTTAGCAGCTCGCTGCTCTGTGGCCTCTCATGCTGTCTTTTGCTGTATGACAGGAGGCCTCTCTTATCTCCCTGTTACCTACATTTTCCCCTTCAGCCATCACCTTTTACGTTTCCAGGTGAACTTAAGAACATTATATCAAGTTGCCAACTATCTCCAGCGGTTGCCTCCACACCCCGCTAACATCTCTCTTTGCTTTGAAGGATATAACTTGGGAGATGCAGAAAGAGAGACACTAACACCTTAAAGGCCTGAACTCGCCTGCACAAGAGCAAGGTATCATTGCATTTATTCAGGAGTTATGCTGACTGACAGTTTTCTCGCTTACTCCCTGTTAAGTTTACCTCTAGATAATTTTAAATGTTGTTGGCCAGAAAAAGACCATATAATACAAACATTCTATCTCGTCTAGCTTGTGGGAACAGCACCCCTGTGAAGGCACATAGTGTTCCTCGCACTGCCAGGTCACTTTGGTCTCATTTCCAACATCTAGACTTACCACACCCAACTTCTTTCCTTTTTTTTATACTTTATTACTTTTAATTGCATTATACATTTTCTCCTACTCCCGTTCCTTCCTCCCCCTCTTTCCTCCTACGCTCTGCGGTGTTAGCAGCTCACTGCTCTGTGGTCTTTTATTCCTTTCTAGGCAGATCTTAGAGTTTTCTTTGTTGTCTATGTTCTCTGGGTTTGTGGACTGTAAGCTGGTTATTCTTTGCTTTATGTCTAAAAGCCACTTATGAGTGAGTACATATGATATTTGTCTTTCTGGGTCTGGGTTACCTCACTCAGTATTGTTTTTTCTAGTTCTCTCCATTTGCCTGCATATTTTAAGATGTCTTTGTTTCTTACCTCTGAGTAGTACTCCGTTGTGTAAATGTGCCACATTTTCCTTATCTATTTTTCAGTTGAGGGGCATCTAGGCTGTTTGCAGGTTCTGCCTATTACAAATAATGCTGTTATGAACACAGTTGAGCAAATGTCCTTGTGGTATTTTTGAGCATCCTTTGGGTATATGCCTAAAAGTGGTATTGCTGGGTCTTGAGGTAGATTGATTCCTAATTTTCTGAGAAATCACTATACTGATTTCCAAATCAGCTGTACAAGTTCACACTCCCACCAGCAATGGGGGCATGTTCTTCTAACGAGTTGCTTGTCCTGAGCATCTCACCGTAATTGTCCTTGACAGCCAGAGTGTTTCTAAGCTTGGCCCAGGCCTTGTGCTGCAAAGTCTGCCTGCTCCACTTGGCTGACTCTGGCACAGGCTGTACCACTTGGGAATTCCTTGCTCCCAAAGAGAATCCTCAGGTTCCTTTGATGGAGTTAAGGTAAGGAGTCTGTCATCTGAAGGCAGATATAAAGAACAAAAAACCCTCACATTTAAATGTCAATGCTGGGTTGGGACCACAGATGTTCTCAGGTTCTGCTCTGTTCAGTAAGTCTCTCTTGTCGATGGGAGTCTAGAGTCGAAGTGTTAGAGAATAACGTAAAACATAAGGCCATGGGGAAGCCTGGGTAGAGACATGGGGGAGAGGACAGTGGGCCCTCGGGTGCCTTTCTATAGCTGCGGTTATCTAGATCAGTTTGAATGATGATCAGATAGATCCTGCTGAAGTTGACAGGAGGACATTACTGGAGGGAAAACAGTATTTTGTGGGAGGTGATAAAATCTCAGGAGCCTTCCTTGCTCATGTTCTCCCTCCTTCTGCTCCTCATTTGGACCTTGGGAGCTCAGTCCAGTGCTCCAATGTGGGTCTCTGTCTCTATCTCCATCCATTGCCAGATGAAGGTTCTATGATGATAAGCAAGATATTCATTAGTATGGCTATAGGATCGGGCCATTTCAGGTTCTCTCTTCTCAGCTGCCCAAGGACCTAGTTGGGGACATTTCTCTGGACCCCTGGGAACCCCTCTAGAGTCAAGGCTCTTGCTAACCCTAAAATGGCTCTCATAATTAAGATATGTACTTCCCTGCTCCCATATCCATTCTTCCTTTATCCCAACCATCCTATTCCCTCAAGCTCTTTGCGAGGGGGGCACCCAACCATTGAGACGGTGGGGCCGATCTAACGAGAGCTCACCAAGGCCAGCTGGACTGGGTCTGAAAAAGCATGGGATAAAACCAGACTCTCAGAACATGGTGGACAATGAGGGCTGCTGAGAAGCCAAGGATAATGGCACTGAGTTTTGATCCTACTGCATGTACTGGCTTTGTAGGAGCCTAGCCTGTTTGGATGCTCACCTTCCTAGACCTGGATGGAGGGGGGAGGACCTTGGACTGCCCACAGGGCAGGGAGCCCTGACTACTCTTTGGACTGAAGAGGGAGGAGGAGGGGAGGGGGACGTGGGGAGTGGGGGGAGGGGGAGGAAAAGGGAGGCAGGGAGGAGGTGGAAATTTTTAATAAAAAAATAAAAAATAAAATTCCAATAATATTAAAAAAAATCTCAGGAGCCATTTCAATGACTACAGAATTTTGAGGCAGGGGAATGGTCAAAAGAAAAAGGAAAATGTCCTCCAGGTTCTTTATGAACATGTCTTGGAATTCCAGGATTGCATGGAAGCTGTTGCCAAGAAAAATCCTAAGATTTGGCCACTGGAGGCTCTGAGATGGTGGCATGGACCTTTTATCATCAGATACCGCAGCACGGGTAACTTCTCCCTTCTCTTGACTAGTGGATAGAGTGATCCAAAAGCAACCCATTGGGTGGTGAAGAATGGTCCACTTACACCTGCAGTTGCTCATTTCCGAGCATCTGTGTGTCTCAGAAATAGACCTGTTTATCAGCTTCCACAACAACAGTTAAAATATTGGTGCCCGTCACCAATATTTGCTCATTTCTTTCTACAATGAATAGTTTCACACCGTATCATAACCTTATCAGTATGATGATTGAAACAGCCCGAATTCTAGCCTAGATAAAGTAGCATACACTGCAGCGTACCCAACACAGTCTTCTGGAAAGATAGCTCCACTCTGGAATGTAAAACTCATTGACTGCATAGACAGCAGTCATGTTTCCATGGTAACCGTCAGGTTACCATGACCCATCACTTTCCAGGCAGTGTCTGCTACCCTGGAGAAAGAAGTCAGACTGCCATGTGTGCCTGGCACCACGTTGAACTATGTTCAGGTCTCCACCTTGGCAGAGTACCTCGGGTGCCAGCAGTAGGTGGCTTCTCTGTTTTTGCATTGTCTCCACGGCTTGTCTGGGTTGAGAGATGGAAGAAAGAAATGCCCCAGAGCATGGAGAGAAGATGTGTGGCTGATGGGGTGGGTGACAGGGTTACTGTAATGCAATAGGTAGTTTCAAGATGCTCCAGCCCTATCCCTCTTCCCAGCACAGCCCCAGCATAGGAAGAAAGGCATTATCTTCCCAGAGGCGAGATGGGTGCTATTGAGATCATTCCCTAAGGATTGCTCTGCCTGTCACCGAGCTTTTCCCCAGGTAGCCTATGGGAACTATTAGCACAATGGCCAGATCCCAAGGATGGGGGTCAAAGAACATTCCCGTGAATCCTCTTCTTAATCTTCTCCCAGTTTCTGGAGCACAGACCTCTGCCATTCATCCACATCTGTCATTTACCAAATAAGAATGGTCTTTAGCCTCCTGGATCGGAGAAGTCCAATAAAGTGCTCCAATATATCACTAGATAATTGAAAACCATCTTTAATATGGCAGTTATTAAGAACGAACAGCCAAGTCTGTCTTCACTCTATTTTACCGTTTGGCAATCAAACGTAAAGAGACAGTCAGGAAAAGAAAAGACCTCAACCCCCACAAATAGTGGGCAGAAGGAGTGTTGAGTGTTGGAGAATGGACTGTGGACCAAGGATATGAAGAAAGGACCATGTGGGAAAACAACCTTTTTGTGAAATTCTTCATCTTAGGATGCAGCAATAGAGTTTCAAGGTGACCGTTTACAAGCGTAGGGGCCATTTATTGTTGTACTAGACACAGCATCATTGGTGTGTGCTTGGGTGGAAATCAACCTTTCATGAAGACCCCAGAATTCTGCCTTTTCTCCCATAGAATCCCCTCCTCAATAAGGATGGAGGTAGGTCCCTGTCATTGTTCTAGGTAATGGATTACCTGCACATCCATTTCCAAGTGTAATGACACTCTTGCTTATTAAAGACCTCTCAGCTGAAGGGGCAGAATATTATGAACTGGCCGAGCCATTCATTTTCTTGAATATGTTATTCAGTATTTTATGCTAAACCAGCAATACACCATCCATTTTAGTACAATGATCCTTATGTTCAATAAAATTGAAGTGTCGCATCATAAATCATTAGAGTCATTTATTTTACATTAGACACATTAGCCACTATATTCCATAATCTATTACAATAAGGTGGATTTAAATGTACCCCAAGGAACTGCAGTAATAACTCCAGAACCAAATATAGCAATTTATGGATAAAATATGCTTAACCTAAAACTGCACTAGCTTTTGTGACGGCTGTGAACTCTGAATGGAATTTAGTGCTGATGGGGACTGAACTCAGCCACACATAAAGAGAGAGAAAGAGTGGGAAATGACAGGCCTGCCTCTAATTTTCTGTTCATTAGTTTTAGGAACATACAAGATTAATAATTACACAAGTCATCAGCGAGACACAAACTTTGGAGGAGCAAACTCTCGCTCGGTGAAAACGTCTCCTCGGTACTCTGCATGCAGGATCAGCAATGAACCTGCCTCTCTGCTGTTGCTCCTCACCGACACTGACCTACCTGCAGAACCACCTCGCTCAGAACTCACTGGTTCTGACTCTGTCAGAAGGCTGCAAAAGTCTACCAGAGGAGGCCTTTAGAGCCGGCAATATTCTTCTAATTTGCTTGGGTTCAAGACAGGGTACTGCTGCACAGCCCCATTTGGTTGCTTTGTAACCATGTTTGGTTTGGAGTCCACACGATCCTCCTGCCTCAGTGTTGATCTTATGTAGCATAGACAAGAAAATCTGTAACTCATCTTTAAGTTTGTAGGGTGCTTTCTTTCACCAACAAATGAGATGACATTTACAAATTCATAGACGTTAATGAAACAGTTTTCTCCTATTGTCTGGATTTGATTTTCTTCACCGTCCCTTCCCATTTTATATACATCTCTTTTTTGAAATGCTTCTCTGTAAATAAGAAAGCCAAATTCTATTTTTCGGTTTCTTCCCTGGCTTGGCATTCTTCTCCTAAACCATGGAGAGCTTTCTTACTTGTAATTATAGGTACGTGGCACCTCCATGCTGCTGACACTTCCAGATGCCTCTGTTGGCAATCTTAGGTCTTTGAGATTTAATCATGAAGTGAGACTTGCCTTGTTGTACTCCTAATAGAAAACCTTTGTTGTTCACAGTTATTAAAAAGCATGTTCATTGCTGTGTTCGATTTCAGACAGCATGGCCCCAAATTGGCACAGTTGGTTCTTATTTAGGAAATTTGAGAACAAGTTAAATTACCCCTTTCAAAGACATCCATCCATCCATCCATCCATCCATCCATCCATCCACACACCCAGCTCATCTACTCACCCACGTTTTTCAGGCCGTTCTTCTCTCTCTTAGCTCATCTAACTATTCAGTTGTCTAGTCTTGGACCATTGAATTCACGCCTACTAAATACCTTCCCCGTGTCAGACACACAGTAGCCACTAGGGTACCACAAGGAACGAGATGGGGACTTACTTTGTAGCAAGGTATTTCAGTGACTGCATTATTGCATCCTATGCAAAATATTGCACTTTACAACATTTATAATTGTCAAGTGCCAAACACTTGCAGTGAGTGTTAAACCCCAGCACTAGTTCATGCACCCTCCGGATTCTGGGGGAAAGAGAAAACCAGGCATAGCTCCGTGTAACCTGTGAGTTTTGCTTTTCCTGACCTCAGTTCTTTATTAATACAATGAGAGGACAAATAGGAAATTTCTAGGTTTCCACATCAGATGCTTAAAGGGGGAGGAAAATATATTCATTGTCTCTTTAGTTAAAAATAGGCCTCATCCTTGCCACACTTGCTAAGGCTTGCACCAGCCCCTGTTTTGTCTTTCTAGATTGTGTCATGAGCCCAGGTATCCCGCTCTCCTACCGCTCTGTAGTTGAGTCTAAGTCCTCAGCAAACCATCACTAGCTGAATATGCTGTTGCTCTGACAGCAGACATCTGTGTCACCCTTCAGAACCAGCACCCACCACTCTCCCCATCTCCTCGGGGTGCCAGGTTATCTGAAATAAAGATCGTCTCCCCCAGGCACGCTTCTCCAAATGAAATAACGCTTCGTTTTCTGTTCCTCACTCTGATCCAATTGGATTACTTAGCTTAAAACATCTAAGTGCCCCACTTGGTGCCATTTTTTATGCGCTGGCCCTAGTGGGTCTGGATGCTGTTCAGCCACAATTGAGGCTTCCCTGTAAAATACCTGCCATTGCTTGTTCTGTCAATTATGGAGAAAAATGGCACCCCTTATCTCTAGGTAGATAGAACAAAGTTTAGATAAACACACACTAAAGATAGAAAAACAAAGGTCCCAGAGTAACCCCGGGGCTCAATCATGCTTGGTACACAAGGCTGACTGACAACAATAGATTGTGTGTGTGTGTGTGTGTACACGCACGCACATAGGCATGCATAGGCACACACTTGTGTGTACACACACACACACACACACACAGCATATCTTGAGACCAAGTTTGGACACATGGTAAGAACCTCTAAGTAAGTCATTAGGCCCAATCTTAGGAAAACAAGTTCGTTTTAGTTGATGCAGCTGAATGAGCTGAACACAGCAGCAGGTCCCCAGTGTTGCAGGCAGTATCTGCAATGGGGCAGGCAGTGATGGAGATACCGCCCCCCCACACACACAGAAGCTCACGGTGCGACTGAGCCATGAAGGAAGAGGTGATCTTAGCTAAAATGCCAGGTGACTCCCCTTCTTGTTTGTACATCTTTTTAATCAAATCAGGCTGGAAGAAGAAGTAGCTTTTTAAGAAAGCTCACGTTTCAGGACCCCTTGCTGTGTGGAGCTTTCCCAAGGCCTGGAGAGGAGCTAGAAAATTTGTGTACATGGTCACCTGAATCCAATTGAAAAGGGACTGGGTTTTAATTCAAGTGGCTATGGCTATCTTATCTGCGTGCTGACATTCCCAGCAGCCTATGTCCTCCTGGGTTATCGGGGGCAAGTGGGGCTGAGCGGGGGAGAGTCCCTGTCGTTCCTCACTGGCAGGTTGTAGATATGGTCTGGGGTTATTTGTCCTGGCCAGCACAGCTGTGAAGGCTGCCCTGGAGTTTGGGGACACCACATCCTAAATCTTCCACCAGACATTCAGATGTTAAACAGATTTCCTCCTAAAGCAGAGGATAGCAGGTCACAAGTGGCCACTGGGTTCCTGTCCCTGCACTGACTCTGGATGTCACAGCGCTGGGGTACTAAACCGTCAACACAGCAGCCTGCCATTGCCTTGAAGCCTATGGATGTTTTTCGTTGCCTCCCAACCCGACAACTTATGTAGAAATTGGAAGTGCTTCCCAATCACGCCAGTAAAACAGAAGCAAATTATAATCAGTGCATCTAGGGAAGGCTGAAGCATGTTCCTTCCTTTTCCGTAGAAAACTTATAATTAATAAAAGGTAATTTATTAACTAAATAAGAAGAAAGAGACAAAGTACAAAGAAACTTCCCAAGGCAAAGTTCAAAGAGCTAGAGAGTTATTGCCAACCAACAAATAGGACCATGTCTAGCTTTTGATTTTTTTAAAATCTATTTTAGTTTTTCCATTCTAAATAGTTTTCAGGATTTATAAATTACTTTGTTTTCTTTTTCCTCCTGAAAAATAAAAGCTCCCCTTGCTCTTCTCTCTTTTTCCCTTTTGCATTCATAATTGTGTGTTGTTTTTGGTACAGGTCCCTGAATTCCAGGCCCTACTAATCTAGCAAGCCAGGAGAAGCTGAGGAAGGTGTAGACCGGGGAGTCAGTGGATGAAAAGAAGACGCAGAGCAGAAGCAGGACCTCAGTGATGCTGGCTAGAGAGGCAGGCTTGGAAACGGCACAGCCAGAGACAGCTGTAGACTAGACAACTAGACACGGGGGGGGGGGGGGGGGGGGGGGGGGGGGGGGGGGGGGGGGGGGGGGAGAGGAGAATCCTGGATATCTGCCACCCGGGCTCACCTCAAAGTTCATGCTGTCCCACTGAGACCATGTGATAATGCCCTGTGAATGGTAGCCAGACACATCTGCCAGGGCTCTGCATGGCTCCTACGACATGGACATATATGTATGACTACATCATATGCTTGCCTTTATGTCTGAGAGTGCACGTTTGATGGAAGGGTCCAGGGACACTTGGTGACGCAGGGCAGGAAAACAAGTGAACCTCGTGCCCGAGTGATGGGAAGCTCCCAGGCCGCAGTGGGGCTGAAAGGAAAGCAGCCTCAGATATCCACGCGGTGCTGCTGCAATCAGCCCTGCTTTGCAGGCAGGAAGGGAGCTTGGAGGGTGAAAGCGAAGCGCCTGAGACACATCTCTTGAAATGCTATGGAACCCGCTATTTTGTAGTCTACTTTACAAAGTGTAAAAGTTCCTGCAGAATGCACAGTGGGGGGAGGGGAGCACAGCCACCTGGGTCACTGTACCTACAAAGACCAGTAGGCTGATAGTCTCCATGACTGTGGGTAAAAGGCAGGGATGAGACTACTAGCCCATTGGGCCAGGTAAACTAATTGTCACAAAGAGGCTAGGAATATCGTTTTGTTGGCTTGTGTCCTGATTTTAAATGTAGTAAACCAATGAGGAATTTTTATAAGTGCTGTCTGGGTTATGGCTTGCAGAATATCTGCCTCCTGACTGTGACCTCTGGGTTTCCTCCCTAAGTTCTGCCCCAGAGTGAGTTCTTGGCCACTGAGTTATGTGGCCACACCCCTTGTGCAAATGCATTGTCTTTCATAAACCTGCTGCTCCACCGCAGGCGTCACCCATCCTCCTATACTTGTCTAGAACAGAAAGAAAGATCTGGGCTTTTTGTCTTGACTAGCTGGTTGTGTAATCTCAAGTGATCTGTCTAACTTCTCGAAGTGTTAGGTTCTCACCTGTGAGGCAAAAGCAAAGGAAAACAGTCTACCCTGCCTGCCTCGTTGGAATTGTGGGAATCAAGCAGATAGTGCCTCTGTTCAATCGCTGCGTGTCAATGACAAAAGTAAAAAATACATTCTGAATTAACAATCTGTGTCTTGAAAGGCAGCTATCAAAAAGTCTGTATGGTGTTTGTAAAGATGGCCCTAATTTTTAGAAAGGCAGTCAGCTAAGATGCTCCCTTTCTGCCTCTAGAAATGAATAACATTTCTTCCATCTCCAGTTCTACCCATTCTCCTCGGCATCGCAAAATGGCTGCCTTGTGTAATATGCACTTTTAGTCACTAACTTGGCACAATCTGGGAAGGGAGTCTCCATAAAGGATTGTCTAGATTTGATTGGCCCGAGAGATGTCTGTGGGGGGTTAATTTCTTTAGTTTAACTGAGTTTGGAAGACATCCCAGCATTCCCTAGGCAGAGAATTCTCAGCTGTACACAGGGACTCATAATTGGACAATGTGTAGAAAATGAGAGATTTCGCAACACTCGGTTCTCCATTAAAGAATGTCTTCATTAAATCCTTTCCCTCAAGGCTCAGGGATCGATGCAGAAGAGGAGTCAGGAAGAGTTGGAGAGCCAGAATGACTCGGAGGAACCAGTGTCCTGTGGACACAACAGGGCTGATGCACATGTGAACTCACAGACCGTGTCAACATTCTCAACACCGTCACAAGTTCAAGCACTGAGAGGGAAAGTAGATAGGGATGGGGTTCCACCCCTAACCAAGAAGCTACTTTCAATTGACACCCACTGGCCTAAGGCACCAGTCCACAACACACGGCACAACATTGTGGGTCAGTTTGAGGAACAGAAAAGTTCAGTGGGGATAACTGAAATCCAGGAAGTCCATGACCTAAAGGATTACAGGTACTAGGTGGTGGGGAGAGCCTAGGAAACACCAGGAATGCTGGATTTGAGAGAAGACATTCAGAGAGAAGACAAAA